AAAAAAAAAAAAAAAAAAAAAAAAAAAAACACAATTATACTGGTCCTATTGTTTTGCAGCCTGCTTTGTTCCCCACTTATACCTCATGAACCTGGTTACACGGTGGGATGAATAGTTGGCAATGACAATGATGGCTTTTATCAAGTGTCCATTCTGTGCCAGACATTGTTCTGAGCCCTAGAATAACAGCAGCTTCTCATGTAGGTCCCCTATGACCAATATCTTACAGATGGAGAAACTGAGGGACAGAGAGGATAAGTCTCCTGCCTGAGGCTAGTCGATCTGGGAGTGGCAGAGAGAGATGCTAAGAGCCAGGCCTGGCGTGGAGCTCTCTCGGCCATGCTGCGATGCACAGCCTCATTTGTTTTTACTCAGGACCTGGGCTGGGTACCGAGTATCCCTTCTTTTTATTTTTATTGTTATAAAAGCCAAAAACTGCAATTCATCATATTTTGCATTTATGTTAAATTGGAGAGTTCATTTTTCACATCGCCTATTAAAGCTTTATACAGGTTAAGACTATTTTAAAAGTTATGAATGTTTTTAATTTAAAGATGATAGACGCTGATTTAAAATATGCACATGGCATGATTCCTGTCCTTCCAGACATATGGCTGTGCACCCACAAACACTTTGGAAGGTTACGTTTTCCACCTGACGGTGTGGCTGGGCTTGGCCCAATGTCTGCACACATAGTACAGCCCCTCATTACAGTGGCCTGTGCTCATCTGCCTGGGGGTCCCATCATTTATGTAACCAGCTCCCTTTGATGAACATAATTTATTTCCAATTTATAATCTTTTTCAAAGAGTGCTACAATGAACATTCCTGCATTTATGTATTTACATACTTGTGAGGGTTTATCTATTGGGTCAATTACTAGAAGTAGAACTTTCAAAGTCAGGGGCCGGCCCGTGGCTCACTCGGGAGAGTGCGGTGCTGATAACACCAAGGTCCCGGGTTCGGATCCTATATAGGGATGGCCGGTTAGCTCACCGGGAGAGCGTGGTGCTGACAACACCAAGTCAAGGGTTAAGATCCCCTTACCGGTCATCTTTAAAAAAAAAAGAACTTTCAAAGTCAAAGGATACAACTCATTCAAATTTTGGTGTTGTTTTCTGTAAAGATTATATCTATTTATATTTCCACCAAAAGACTGTTAAGCTGAGAAAGGCATTCCCTATTCCAAACTTACAAAAACATGTACCCATTTTCATTTCATACTTTCATAGTTTTATTTTCTGTGTTAAACTTTTTGATTCATATGGAATTTTTTTTTTTTTAAAGATGACCGGTAAGGGGATCTTAACCCTTGACTTGGTGTTGTCAGCACCACGCTCTCCCAAGTGAGCTAACTGGCCATCCCTATATAGGGATCCGAACCCGTGGCTTTGGTATTATCAGCACTGCACTCTCCTGAGTGAGCTATGGGCCAGCCTGTATATGGAATTTTTTGATTAAGGGCTGAAATAGAAATATTGAGGTTTGTGTTTTCTGAGCTGTCTAGTTGACTGTCCCAGCACCAGTAAGAGCATGTTCCATCTTCTCTCCACCCATTTGACATGGTTCCCTTCCCATAAACCCCCACATAAACTTGAGTCTTCCGGCACCTGCAGTTTCACCCTAGCACACTCACGTCAGAGGACAAGATCCGCCTGTGCCTCTGCTTTTCCAGATGTTTCCTACTTATATTTTTATTCCTCTAGGTAAACTTTTGAATAACTTTGTCATATTCCCAAAAAGACTTGTGGTGTTTTGATTTGGTGTTTGATTGATTTTATGGATTAATTAAGGGAGAATTAACATCTTTACATTATTGAGGCTTTCCAGTCTAAAACAACACTTTTATCTTTTTCAGAGTTTACAATTTCTTCATTTAGAAACATGAGTCTTAGGGTTCTTGATACATATTACCCTGTATTAGCTTTCTATTACTGCATAATAAATTACCACAAATTTATTGGCTTAAGTCAGCACATTTATTTATTCTCTCACAGTCTCCATGGTTCAGGAGTCCAGGCAGACTTTCTGGGTCTCTCCACAGGGACTCGCCAGGCTGGAAGCCAGGTGTTGGCTGGGCTGCCTTCTCATGTGGAGCTGGGTCCTCTTCCAGGCTCATCTAGGTTGTAGGTAGAATCCACTTCTTCGTGGTTCAAGGACTAAAGTCCCCATTTTCTTGCAGGTTCTCTGCAAGGGGTTGCTCGAAGCTCCCAGAGGCTTCTCTGATTAGGTCAGGCCCACCAGGACAGCCTCCACTTTGATTAAGTCAAAGTTGACTGATGAATAACCTAGTCACAGGAGCGGCATTCCATCCTCCTCACAGGTTACATCCACTCTCAAAGGGAGGGGATTATACAGGGTTTTTGACCAGGGGGCAGGGATCTTGGGAGTTGTCTTAGAATTGTGCTATCACATTACCAAACTGATTTCAAGAAAGATTAGTACTTCCACAAACAATGTGCCCCAGCCCGATATGCATTTAGTGTGCTATTTTTGGCCTCTCATAAATGTTGCAAATATCTTTCGAGCTTACCATTTGTTTTATATTTGTTTAGAGGTTTTGGGGAGATGTTTTATAATTTAATGCAGTCAAACCCTTCAATATTTCTCTGTGATGTCTTTGATGTGAGGCTCAGAAAGATGTTTCCTACTGAGAAGTTAGATTAATAATCACTTTTCCCTTTTTCTATTCACTTTCTACTCACTCATCCATCTGGAATTCATCTCAGTAGACAGCAAGAGATTACAACCCAACCCATGTTTTCCCTTGTAAGTGTTAGGCATTTCTTAGCATCATTTGTTAGAGAATCCTTCCTTTCCCCATTTATTTTTGGTGCCGATTTTATCAAACACTAATTATACACAAACATGCTCACACTCTCGTACACAACTAGGGGCTTATTCTTGTCCATATTTTCTGTTTCACTGATCTGCTATTCTCTTACTAGAAGTACATTTTAATTATTATAACTTTTGATACACTTTTAAATTTTTTATTTTTAAATAATTACAAGTTCACAGAAAGTTGCAAAAGTAGTACAGAGAGGTCCCATGTGCCCTTCATCCGATTTGCCCCAGTGGTACATCTTACATAACTACAGCACAATATCAACACCAGGAAACTGACATCGGTACAATGTGTATATATTGATCTATGCCATTTAATCACATGTAATCACCACCACAATCAAGACACAGAACCGTCCGTCTCTACAAGGATCTGCTGCTCTCTTGTGGTTATGCCCGTTCCCTCCCCCATCCCTAACCCCTGGTAACCACTCGTCTGCACTCCACGTCTATAATTTTGTCACTTGGAGAATGTTATATACATGGAATCATACAGCATGTGATCTTTTGAGACTGGCCTTTTTCACTCAGCGTGATATTTTTTGATAGCTAATAGAATAAATTGTCCCTTAAGTTTTCTTTTTCAAAATTTCATTGCAATTAAGCATATTCTACCTTCAAAAAACTCGTTATGAAAGTATTCAAACACCCACGAAAATAGGCAATGAGGACCTACATGCGCCTCATGCAGCTTCAATCAATGTTTTGTCACCTGGTTTTCCCTATCTTTCTTACTTTTTTGAGTATTTTAAAGCAAATTCCAGACATAATTTACCCATAAATATTGTACTATATCTATCTGACAAGGATTTTATTTTGCATAACTACAATAGCATTGCCACAGCTAAGAAAACTAGCACTGATTCTTTATTGTCATCTAACACCTATTTAACTCTCTCAAGAATGGCCTCGCCAGGTGCATACATGGCAGTTGGTTCTTAGGTCTCTCAAGCTTCCTTACCACAATCCCCTCCTTTTTTTTTCATGTCATTTATTTGTTTAAGAAACTGGGTCATTTTTTTGGTAGAATTTCCAACAGTCTGGAATTGGGTGATTGTAGATTTGTGGTGTGTTAATCTCCATAATGTGTTTATGTTTGTGGATTTTGTAATGCAAAACTTTAAGCATATACAGAAAAAGCAAAAATAGTACAATATATCCCGTCACCCCGCTGCCACGATGGTGAACTCATGGAGGAATACCTCCACCCCACCACTCACCCCTTATTCTGGTTTCTACTGCTGCATAACAATTTGCTCCAAACTTTTGCAGCTTAAAACAACTATTTTATTTTCTCATGGCTTTATGGGTCAGGAATTCAGGACAGGTTTGGTTGAACATTTGTCACTTGTGGTACCCCATGCAGTTTCAGCCAGATGTCTGAAGGCTCACGGGGCTCAACATCCTGGATGGTGCACACGCCAGCTGGGGTCGGATGCTGGTGCTATGTGAGGTGGGGAAGGCAAGCTGGGGAGACTCAGGTCAGGGCCTGGGATCATCTCAAGGCTTGTCCACTCACAAATCTGGACACCTGGGCTGACCAGGACAGCTAACTGCAGTGCCTCCATGGGCCTCCCCAGTTCAGAGCTGGGCAACCATCCATGCAGTTTTGAGAATATTCCCATCATCCCAGAAAGTGTTGTTGTGCTCGATTGTGGCCAATCCCCCATTTCCACCCCTGCCCCAGGCAACCACTAATCTGCTCCTCCACAAAAATTTGCCTTTTCTGGACATTTCATATAAAGGGAGTTGTGATATATATGGTCTTTACATCTGGTGTCCTTCAGTAGTGACAGGTCTGGGGTTCCTCCACAGTGTGCATGAGTCAGTAGCTGGTTCCTTCTTACCACTCAGCATGTCCATTGTATGGAGAACGCACAGTCTTCATCTTCTCTCTGTAAACTCCATCCTCACTCTTGCTCTCTGACGTGCTGTGTTCCCTTCACATCTATCCACCCCCTGAAGTGATGGTGTGTGACACACATTGTTGGTGCCTTTCCAAGAGGCACCCCCTGCCCATGCCTCCCCTTGCTGGCAGAGGTCCTGCCCACCCTGTGCTTCATGACCTGCTCCAGCCCTTGGTGAATTTGCAAAGTTGAGCCCATCCTAAAGAGGCTGGGAAGGCAAAGCCTACCTAGGAAAGGTCTCCTTGCTACTATGAAGCGAGGAGAAATGCCCTTGGAACAGGTGCAGTCCTGTCTGCGCGCGATACCTGGAGCCATCCAGCTACCTAGGGATGGTGGAGGAAGACGATTGCGGGTGGCAATGCAGAAACACGCAGAGTCCTCAGGGTCATTGCTATGATGCTCAGCAAACCACCCCTTGCCTCTGACACTTCTAGTGTTAACGCTGTGCTTAGTTGGCTTTTCTGTAACTTTGAGTAAAAGCATCCTGACAGACTGGTAGCATTTCCTAAACCTCCACCATAGGACTCTGGCCCTTCCTGCAGCCTTCCACCCTCAAGTGAGGGGCTCCTAAATTGGAATTTCAAGTCCAAGCTTCTCTCCCAACCCCAATGTCCAACTTTCAAACTGCCTCCTGCTTCTGGCCCTTGGTCCCACAGATGTCTCAGTCTGAACCGGCCATGGCCAGCTCCTCTGCCCTGTCAGGCCAGTGTTGCTCCTGCCGTTCTTTCTTGTCTGACCCACTGACCGTTCGTTCTCACAGTCACTCTCTCCTCGCCCCACACCTCATCACACTGCAGGTTCTGCTGGTTTGACACCCTGGATCCTTCTGGAATTCCCACTGGTTCCCACCGAATCCCAGCAATGAGCCCGTGATAGGCCTCCTCATTCCCCCGCTAGCCTTTATTCTGGAGCCAGAAAGACCTTCCCGAGGCCCAGACCCCATTGCGCCTCCTTGTCTCAAATATTTAACAGTCCCATGGCACAACCCACATGATAAAATGAACGAAAACCTTTGCATTCTGCCTTCTTGCTTTTGTGGCCTCACGTACCCCCACATATCCAAAGGCCTGGCTACACCGGGCTTTAGAAAGTGGACACAGGGCCGGCCCGGTGGCGCACTGCTATAGTGCGCCGCTTGGGAAGCGCGGTGGCGCTCCCGTCGAGGGTTCGGATCCCACATACAGACCGCCGCTCACTGGCTGAGCGAGGGGCGGGAGCGACACCGAGGGTTGCGATCCGTTGCCGGTCACGAAAAAAGACAAAAAGGAAAAAAAAAAAAAAAAAGAAAGTGGACACAACTGCCGGAGCGGCTCGGGTCCTCTGTCCCACCCACTGTCTATTCCCTCGGTGGTCGCCCTCCTCACGGCTGTGCACGCAGAGCGCTCCTGCAGCCCCGCGCCGCCTGCTGCAGCCCAGCCCACCCGGCCATCCGGTCCGTACCGTACGCCGCCGAAGGGATCGCAGCGGTGCCCAAGACGCCGGCCCTCCCGGGCGGGCAGCGTGCCTCGATCTGAGCACCGCCACGGCCCCTCGACCGCGCGTTACACAAGCGCCCGTCGCTCGGGAGCTTCCCCAGCTCTCACCCACCTCGTATTTCTGCCAGAACCCCGGCTGTGCGCCTCCCAGGGCAGGCTCTAGAGCAGCACTTCCGCGGACACAGCGCCTGCT